CTAACAGCTGCTAACCAGTCTGCTAACAGCAGCTAACCAGCTAGCTAACAGCTGCTAACCAGCAAGCTAACAGCTGCCAACCAGTCAGCTAACAGCTGCAAACTAACGAGCTAACAGCTGCTAACCAGCCATCTAACAGCCACTAACCAGCTAGCTAACAGCTGCTAACTAGCCTGCTAACAGCTGCTAACCAGCTTGCTAACAGCCGCTAACCAGCTAGATAACAGCCGCTAAATAGCCTGCTAACAGCTGCTAACCACCTAACTAACAGCTGCTAACCAGCCTGCTAACAGCTACTAACCTGCCAGCTAACAGTTGCTAAGCTGCCAGCTAACAGATGCTAACCAGCTAGCTAACAGCTGCTAACTAGCCTGCTCACAGCTGCTAACCAGCCTGCTAACAGTTGCTAACCAGCCAGCTAACAGCCGCTAACTAGCCTGCTAACAGCTGCTAACCAGCTAGCTAACAGCCACTAACTAGCCTGCTAACAGCTGCTAACCACCTAGCTAATAGCTGCTAATCAGCCAGCTAACAGCTGCTAACCAGCTAGCTAACAGCTGCTAACTAGCCTGCTAACAGCCGCTTACTAGCCTGCTAACAGCTGCTAACCAGATAGCTAACAGCTGCTAACCAGTCTGCTAACAGCAGCTAACCAGCTGCCAACCAGTCAGCTAACAGCTGCAAACTAACGAGCTAACAGCTGCTAACCAGCCAGCTTAGAGCTGCTGACCAGCCAGCTAAAAGCTGCTAACCAGCTAGCTAACAGCTGTCAACCAGCTAGCTAACAGCCACTAACCAGCTAGCTAATAGCTGCTAACTAGCCTGCTAACAGCTGCTGACCACCTAGCTAACAGCTGCTAACTAGCCTGCTAACCAGCCTGCTAACAGCTGCTTACCAACCAGCTAACAGCCACTTACCAGCTAGATAAAAGGTGCTAACTAGCCTGCTAACAGCTGCTAACCAGCTAGCTAACAGCCGCTAACTAGCCTGCTAACAGCTGCTAACCACCTAGCTAATAGCTGCTAATCAGCCTGCTAACAGCTGCTAACCAGCTAGCTAACAGCTGCTAACTAGCCTGCTAACAGCCGCTTACTAGACTGCTAACAGTTGCTAACCAGCTAGCTAACAGCTGCTAACCAGTCTGCTAACAGCTGCTAACCATCTAACTAACAGCTGCTAACCAGCCTGCTAACAGCTGCTAACCTGCCAGCTAACAGTTGCTAAGCTGCCAGCTAACAGATGCTAACCAGCTAGCTAACAGCTGCTAACTAGCCTGCTCACAGCTGCTAACCAGCCTGCTAACAGCTGCTAACCAGCCAGCTAACAAAGCGAAACTAGCTAACGCTGCTAACTACCTGCTAACCACCTAGTTAAAAGCTGCTAACCAGCCTGCTAAAAGCTGCTAACCCCCTAGCAAAAAGCTGCTAACCCTGCTAACAGCCCTAAATAGCCTGCTAACAGGGCCGGGTTACTAGCCTTTCTAACAGCCTAAACCGCCACTAAAAGCCCTAACCCGCTAGCTAACAGCCCCTAACTAGCCGCTAAAAGTGCAAGGGAGCTAGCTAACACTGCTACCAGCAAAACTAAAGCTGTCAACCAGCTAGCTAAAAGTGTTTCTGAAACGCAGCATGCTAAAAGGGCCCCTTTTTTTTTCCCTTTAAAAACTGTAAAACCCCAAAAATTTGGCGGGAAAAGGCAAAAAAAACAACCCCCCCCCCCCCCCCCCCCCCCCACAAAAAACAAAAAAAAAAAAAAAACCCCCCCCCCCCCCCCCCCCCCCCCCCCCCCCCCCCCCCCCCCCCCAAAAAAAACAAAAAACAAAAAAAAAAAACCCGGCTGCCCCAAATATTTTTCTGGGAACAACCAAAGCCCCAGGGAGTCCCCCTTTTTCTGCCAAATTTTCATTTTTTAAAAGGTTTTTTTAAAACGTTCCTTCAAAAATTTTTCAGGGAAAATACTTAAATTAAATTTTATTTTCAATTAAACAGGCGAAAGGCGTAACCTTTGAAGCTTTCCGTGGGCGTTAAAAAAGGAACATGAAAGTAAAAAACCCCCTGTTTAAAAAAAAATGTTTTGGGATTTGTTCTCTTTTGGAATTTTAAATTTTTAATTTAACGGCCCCCGGGGTCCCGGCGGGGGCCCTTTGGGGGCAGAAAGCTTTTTTTGGAAAAAAAAATATGTTTTAATTTTTTTGCTTTTTAACGCCCCAAATTGCCGGTGGGAAACCCCCTTTTAAAACCAAAATTTCCAAAAAAAACTGGGTTTTACTGGGCCCAAGGGGAAACCCAATGATTTGATCGGGATTTTCACGGGCCCCTTTTGATTTTCAATTTTACAAATTACAAAAAACTTCCCGAGCTAATTTTTTAGGATGCCCCGATTTTTTAAATTTTGCCTATGGTTGCAGAATTGGAAAAAAAGACTATGAAACCAGATCCACTGGGGGTTATCCTTTTATTAGGAGGGATTTTGACAAATTTTCCGATGTTTTTTACAGTTTTCTGCTGGTTTAAAAAAAATGATGAGAAGCAGGGGAGAGCTTAAAACGCCCTGATTTCTGAAAGCTGTGAATGAGGATATACATCACACATATATATATGACATCATTAACTGATTAAAGAACAAATGTTCTCATATTCACTACGATTTGACAAAAGATTCTTGACAATGACATTTTTAACAAAAAATAAATGAAAATGAACATAAAATTAATTTTAAAAAACAAAATAACATTACTCTCTCTTGTGAATCACATTACAACAAATGTTCCTCTATAGATCATAATATTCATTATCAAAGAGCAATCCTTTAAAATACTGAATAATAATAATAATAACATACAATATAAATATATATTTGTAAAACAGAATTTAACATATTAAAATAAAACTTTGTGCTTATATTAATATTTAATTGCACAATATCTAACTTTGCATAAATCTCATCCAGTTTAAATCATTTTTAATCTGAATAAATCTGTAATCTAATGTAAAGGTAATCTCAGGATGAGTTTTGGTCCTTTAAATTGTTGTGACATGTAAGAGATTATATAATCTGTGACTCTTTCATGGGATTAAACTGAGGTCAAAGAAGCCTCCTGTTCATTCTGACAGCAGCTAAATGAACTGTGGTCTGACCCAAGATGGCCGCCCTCTAGGCTCATGATAAGACAAAAGGCCCAGAGGTGAATGCAAGCATAATGAGGTTGGGAAACACTGATAACGATGGAGGTAGAAACTCAATATGACCTCCAAGATAACAGGATCGGTTCTACAAAATAATCCCTGATCAGGTGAATCAGGTGTAGATCTGCAGCTACTAGACGTCACCCCTGGGTTGGTTCTGATCAACAGCTAAAATAGACATGAGGTCCTGTGGTGCGTTTCAGTGCAGAGGAAAGAATCTGATGGAGAGAATAGACCTCCACCAAAGACATACCATGGATGGATGGATGGATGATGGATGGATGGATGGATGGATGAGGATGGATGGATGGATGGATGGATGGATGGATGGAATGATGAGGATGGATGGATGGATGGATGAGGATGGATGGATGGATGGATGGATGAGGATGGATGGATGGATGCATGGATGAGGATGGATGGATGAGGATGGATGGATGAGGATGGATGGATGGATGGATGGATGGATGGATGGATGGATGGATGGATGGATGAGGATGGATAGATGGATGGATGGATGGATGGATGGATGGATGAGGATGGATGGATGGATGGATGGATGGATGGATGAGGATGGATGGATGGATGGATGGATGGATGGATGGATGGATGGATGGATGGATGGATGGATGAGGATGGATGGATGGATGGATGGATGGATGGATGAGGATGGATGGATGGATGGATGAGGATGGATGGATGGATGGATGGATGATGGATGGATGGATGGATGGATGGATGAGGATGGATGGATGGATGGATGGATGGATGAGGATGGATGGATGGATGAGGATGGATGGATGGATGAGGATGGATGGATGGATGGATGAGGATGGATGGATGGATGAGGATGGATGGATGGATGGATGAGGATGGATGGATGGATGAGGATGGATGGATGGATGAGGATGGATGGATGGATGGAACCAGAGGAAACAGAACCCACCCAGCAAGTTCTGCTTTACATAGATCTACTGTGTCTTTTCTTCTGAGTGAAGAAGAACGGATCTTTATGATCCAGTTTAGAAGAACGGATCTTTATGATCCAGTTTAGAAGAACGGATCTTTATGATCCAGTTTAGAAGAATGGATCTTTATGATCCAGTTTAGAAGAATGGATCTTTATGATCCAGTTTAGAAGAACGGATCTTTATGATCCAGTTTAGAAGAATGGATCTTTATGATCCAGTTTAGAAGAACGGATCTTTATGATCCAGTTTAGAAGAATGGATCTTTATGATCCAGTTTAGAAGAACGGATCTTTATGATGATGAGACACCAACAGATCTGAGTTAAATAGATTCATTTCTGCAGGAACTGATTCGTTTGCATCCAGATGTGTGAAGGATGAAGAGGAGGCAGATGTTCTGCTCCACGGTCACAAACTTTCCTCTAACTTCTCCTCAAAGTTCACATTTCTGGAAAACACAACTAAGACAAAGTTTTAGAGGTTCTGCAGAACCGAATAATCCCGCAGGAGCCGGCGGACCGAGCGGGTCCCGCATCCTGCCCCGCAGCAAACAGGTCCAAAGAGGCGGCCAGCAGCGGACAGGTGATCCCCGCAAACATCTGCAGCCTCCCGCAGCCTGAGCTGCTGATCTGCTCTGCTGCTTAAAGTTGGCAGAGCGGCTGCGGGGCCAGAGTGCCTGTTCCGTGCGGGTTGTTGCGGTAGTGTTGCGGTGAGCGGCCTTGAGCGCGGAGCCTCCGCTCACTGTGATGAACAAACTTTTACCCCCCTCCCCCCCTCATTTAAATAACCCGATATTTGCCGCCATCAGAGGGCTGTCCGCCCGCATCTGTTGGACCAAACTCACCCTGGGAGCTTCCTCATCCTCTCTCTGGACTTTTTCCTCACTTTCAACTATTTCCTGAATTTTTAATAATTTTTTTCTCATATTTTCTGCCAGACGCGGCGGGCCTGGAAATTGTTTGCTCTGTCTTTTTTCGGGCAGCCATTGTGTATGCGCTGCGATGCAACCGCACTATGCCCTGACCACGCCCACTCCGGTCCCCCTGCTTCTTCTGATTGGTTCTCAGCATTGCCACTCTCCCGCCCCTCTCACAGTCAGGCCTGCTGCACTGGCCGGACCCCCTGTCAATCATTTGGTCTTCGCGCTTGTGATTGGGCGGGGCTCGGACCTCAGCAGGAACGCTATTGGGCCGCTGGGCTTTCAGGGCCGTCCTGCTCTCTGATTGGCTGACGCGGTATGTGGAGGGTTCTCCTGGCGCTGTGCTGTAGAGAGCAGCAGTTAGCTAGCTATAACTCTCTGTAGCTGGGGTCTGAGGAGCAGCAGGAGGAGCGGCAGGAGGAGCGGCAGGAGGAGCGGCAGGAGGAGCGGCAGGAGGAGCTGCAGAGGACAGCCGGCGGCAGCGGGAGGACAGCTGGGCTCACTCCGGGTTGTTTGATAACTGAACCATGACCTTCAGCCTGGATGAACCTCAGCGGCTTCCGTAGTGTGAGGATCGGAGGCGATCTTCTGCAGGTAGGTGGACCTCCTCTGGCTCAGCACCGGAATATTGGACCCACTCTGGTCCGAACCGGCAGACATGTTGCTCTGTCGCTTTAAACCGGTTTGGAAACCGGTTCAGGCTGAGCTGTTCACATTGATCCACAGGTTAAAGCAGAGGAAGCTCAGTGTTTATCATTAAGGTGCGTTCAGGTGCAGTGGTTAAACCCTGCACCGCGTCATCAATTAGGAGGAGCTTCAGCATGGAGGTCAGGGCTGAGCATTTCAGATGCAATTAATATGAATATTTTATTAAATAATAATAAAAACTAATACAGTTTATTACTTTCTATTTTCTAACGTTAGACCCAATGTCAGTGGCTAACTCAGTCAATGTCTTCCAGTCAGTCTGAGATAGCCAGACTAATGTTAGTCTACAGACTATACTATAGGATCCATAGATGGATTTATTGCTTAGTTCATGCACTGGCTGGGCAATGACCAGAGGAACGTCTTCCTGCAGACAGAAAACTGCTGGTTTTAGCAGCCAAATGCTTGAAAGGAAGCATTTTACTGTGCATCTCTGTGGGGGTGGGGAGTACTAAGATGGCGGCTGGTGGCTTCACTGAATAAATAGAGATCACTGCCCCAGACCCTCTGCTTTGGACCTGCCGTTACCCCTGGCAACCCATGTCATTTCCTGTCAGTATTTCAAGCCCAGGTGACCCTTAACATCAGGGCCTAATGCTAAAAGGTTCTCTGTGAACAACCTTTGAATCTCCTTGAAGAGAAAGATCCACTGTGGTTGGGATTCAGCAGGACTTCCCTGTAGGTCTCCCCCCTCAGAAAGCCCTGATGCTGGGCAGAGGGCAGGGATAGAGTGGCCTCTGGGCTGGAGGTTCTCCATGCATCCATACCAGAGCACTAATACATGACATTAGCTCCTTTCCTTTACTTTCAGTAAACAGAAGCACACTGAGTGGAACAGATCTGTCCTCTTATAGTGTCCACAGCCTTGTCCCAGATTTGACCTGCATTTAAATAGAACAAATAACAATAAAAACATGAAACTGTTTAAACAGCTTTGTCACATCCTGCTTCCTTAAAGCCTTTTTAGGTGGAAACCTGTTTTCAGAGCAAGTTTAATCTCTGCTTCAGCAGAACTTCATGTTTCAGTTCTCATGTAGTGGATGCAGTGCAAATGCAGTGCGGTAGAGGGCGCTGTTTCCGTCTGCAGCAGACATCCACTTCATTGCTGAGTTTCTCTGCCTCAGAGGCAGGGAAACCATCTGATGCCGACAGCAGCCTGCTAGACATGAACTACTGCTATGGTCTCTGGCCAGCCTCCTTTATACGTTCATCCGCCTATGATGGTCTCTGGCCAGCCTCCTTTATACGTTCATCCGCCTATGATGGTCTCTGGCCAGCCTCCTTTATACGTTCATCCGCCTATGATGGTCTCTGGCCAGCCTCCTTTATACGTTCATCCGCCTATGATGGTCTCTGGCCAGCCTCCTTTATACGTTCATCCGCCTATGATGGTCTCTGGCCAGCCTCCTTTATACGTTCATCCGCCTATGATGGTCTCTGGCCAGCCTCCTTTATACGTTCATCCGCCTATGATGGTCTCTGGCCAGCCTCCTTTATACGTTCATCCGCCTATGATGGTCTCTGGCCAGCCTCCTTTATACGTTCATCCGCCTATGATGGTCTCTGGCCAGCCTCCTTTATATGTTCATCCGCCTATGATGGTCTCTGGCCAGCCTCCTTTATACATTCATCCGCCTATGATGGTCTCTGGCCAGCCTCCTTTATACGTTCATCCGCCTATGATGGTCTCTGGCCAGCCTCCTTTATATGTTCATCCGCCTATGATGGTCTCTGGCCAGCCTCCTTTATACATTCATCCGCCTATGATGGTCTCTGGCCAGCCTCCTTTATACATTCATCCGCCTATGATGGTCTCTGGCCAGCCTCCTTTATACATTCATCCGCCTATGATGGTCTCTGGCCAGCCTCCTTTATACATTCATCCGCCTATGATGGTCTCTGGCCAGCCTCCTTTATACATTCATCCATCTATGATGGTTTCTGGCCAGCCTCCTTTATACATTCATCCGCCTATGATGGTCTCTGGCCAGCCTCCTTTATACGTTCATCCGCCTATGATGGTCTCTGGCCAGCCTCCTTTATACATTCATCCGCCTAGCCTATGATGGTCTCTGGCCAGCCTCCTTTATACATTCATCCAGCTATGATGGTTTCTGGCCAGCCTCCTTTATACATTCATCCATCTATGATGGTCTCTGGCCAGCCTCCTTTATACATTCATCCGCCTATGATGGTCTCTGGCCAGCCTCCTTTATACATTCATCCGCCTATGATGGTCTCTGGCCAGCCTCCTTTATACATTCATCCGCCTATGATGGTCTCTGGCCAGCCTCCTTTATACATTCATCCGCCTATGATGGTCTCTGGCCAGCCTCCTTTATATGTTCATCCGCCTATGATGGTCTCTGGCCAGCCTCCTTTATACGTTCATCCGCCTATGATGGTCTCTGGCCAGCCTCCTTTATACGTTCATCCGCCTATGATGGTCTCTGGCCAGCCTCCTTTATATGTTCATCCGCCTATGATGGTCTCTGGCCAGCCTCCTTTATACGTTCATCCGCCTATGATGGTCTCTGGCCAGCCTCCTTTATACGTTCATCCGCCTATGATGGTCTCTGGCCAGCCTCCTTTATACGTTCATCCGCCTATGATGGTCTCTGGCCAGCCTCCTTTATACATTCATCCGCCTATGATGGTCTCTGGCCAGCCTCCTTTATACATTCATCCATCTATGATGGTTTCTGGCCAGCCTCCTTTATACATTCATCCGTCTATGATGGTCTCTGGCCAGCCTCCTTTATACATTCATCCGCCTATGATGGTCTCTGGCCAGCCTCCTTTATACATTCATCCGCCTATGATGGTCTCTGGCCAGCCTCCTTTATACATTCATCCGCCTATGATGGTCTCTGGCCAGCCTCCTTTATACATTCATCCGTCTATGATGGTTTCTGGCCAGCCTCCTTTATACATTCATCAGTCTATGATGGTCTCTGGCCAGCCTCCTTTATACATTCATCAGTCTATGATGGTCTCTGGCCAGCCTCCTTTATACATTCATCAGTCTATGATGGTCTCTGGCCAGCCTCCTTTATACGTTCATCCGCCTATGATGGTCTCTGGCCAGCCTCCTTTATACATTCATCAGTCTATGATGGTCTCTGGCCAGCCTCCTTTATACATTCATCAGTCTATGATGGTCTCTGGCCAGCCTCCTTTATACGTTCATCCGCCTATGATGGTCTCTGGCCAGCCTCCTTTATACATTCATCCGCCTATGATGGTCTCTGGCCAGCCTCCTTTATACGTTCATCCGCCTATGATGGTCTCTGGCCAGCCTCCTTTATACATTCATCCGTCTATGATGGTCTCTGGCCAGCCTCCTTTATACGTTCATCCGCCTATGATGGTCTCTGGCCAACCTCCTTTATACATTCATCCGCCTATGATGGTCTCTGGCCTGCCTCCTTTATACATTCATCCGCCTATGATGGTCTCTGGCCAGCCTCCTTTATACCTTCATCCGTCTATGATGGTCTCTGGCCAGCCTCCTTTATACGTTCATCCGACTATGATGGTTTCTGGCCAGCCTCCTTTATACATTCATCCGCCTATGATGGTCTCTGGCCAGCCTCCTTTATACATTCATCAATCTATGATGGTCTCTGGCCAGCCTCCTTTATACATTCATCCGCCTATGATGGTCTCTGGCCAGCCTCCTTTATACATTCATCCGCCTATGATGGTCTCTGGCCAGCCTCCTTTATACGTTCATCCGCCTATGATGGTCTCTGGCCAGCCTCCTTTATACGTTCATCCGTCTATGATGGTCTCTGGCCAGCCTCCTTTATACGTTCATCCGCCTATGATGGTCTCTGGCCTGCCTCCTTTATACATTCATCCGCCTATGATGGTCTCTGGCCAGCCTCCTTTATACATTCATCCGCCTATGATGGTCTCTGGCCAGCCTCCTTTATACATTCATCCGCCTATGATGGTCTCTGGTCAGCCTCCTTTATACATTCATCCGCCTATGATGGTCTCTGGTCAGCCTCCTTTATACATTCATCCGCCTATGATGGTCTCTGGCCAGCCTCCTTTATACATTCATCCGCCTATGATGGTCTCTGGTCAGCCTCCTTTATACATTCATCCGCCTATGATGGTCTCTGGTCAGCCTCCTTTATACATTCATCCGCCTATGATGGTCTCTGGCCAGCACTCATTTCTGGCATGTCTGCCTATTTAGTCACGTGTTCACAGGTCTCTACGTGTTCATCAACATTTCTGTCTAACAGCTGAACCTGCGTCCTGAATTCTTTCCAGGCTCTGTGCCGTGGTTTGACCAAGTTGGCAGTAAAACATTCAGCATGTGGTTAACTCGGCCTTGGAGATGAAGGGCTGCAGGTTTCTCTGGTTGGAAGGAGGAAAATAAAATCTGAATGTGTGTATTTCTGCTCTTGTATGTTTCTGGGGTCAGAGAGAAGAACTGAACCTTTAGGTGTTTGGATCCACTCCCAGATCCACCATGGACCAGAAGTCCAGGAAGGTCTCCAACCAGGACATCAACCCCTGCCTGGAGGTAAGCTGCAGCCACTTCTGATTCTGAACAGGGCGGGTTCTGCTCTAAGCTGATCCCTCCGACCCGTTTCAGGAGAGCGATGCGTCCCACAGGTGTTTGGACGCCTACAACTACGACCGCAGCATGTGCTCAGCCTACTTCCAGAGGTACAAGAACTGCCGCAAGTTCTGGGTAAGTTCCCGGACCAGAGCGCGGTGTGAGAACCAGTCGGTACCAGAGCTCCACTAACCCTCCTGTGTTTCTCTGCAGCATGGCATTATGGTCCAGAGAAGAAGAGACGGCATCAAACCAGACATGCCCACCGCCGCTGAGAGGACAGAGATGCTGGGCACCATGGGAGGGAAGCCTTACTGACCGGTCCAGACCGGCCCACTGGGCCAGAGGGAAGCCCAGCCCACCCTGGACTCAGTAGAGACCTTAAAGTTGGCCCAGGAACCAGGTTCTGGCTTGTTACAGATGGGCTGGGTTCTACAGGAGGTTCCGACATGGTCGCTGTTTGCCCCAGATCGTCTGAGCGAGTCCACTAAGCGTGACGGACACAGGACATGATGATGATGATGATGATGATGATGATGATGTGCATCCAGCCTTACATGTTGCCAATAAATGACCCTTCATCCCTCCTATGTGTCTCTGTTCTGGTTCTGATCCACTTTGCACAGAAATCTGCTCCCCTTTAATAGCAAATAACAGTTTAAACTTCTGTTCTTTTATCTGATTGATTTTCTAAATATTTTTTATCATGTTTCAGGTTTATTTTCAGTTTTTTCTGTGGGTGGAGGCTGGTTTCTGTTCTGAGCCCGTCAGTCCTCTGGCTGTCGGACTTTGGACCAATAGGAAGGCTGTTGCTAGGCTCCACGGGCAGGAAAGCTGCTGGTCAGGATTTTTTCCTGTGCAGGAGGGGGTCTGGGTGGCAGTCAGGTCTACAGTTCTGTGGTGAAGTCGGGTCCAGAGTCTGTGTGAACATCAGATGAAGTTCCTGGATGTAGAAAAGATGGACCACAACTGAAGAACAGAACCAACATGGAGACGAGTGGAGAGGTTCTGTTGGTACCTCATCTTCATCATCACATGGATGGATGGATGGATGAAGGGTGGATGGATGGATTATGGTTGGATGGATTGGTGATTGGCAGCTCCATAGTCAGAAACGTGGCATTAGAGACACCAGGGACCATAGTCAAATGTTTGCCGGGGGCCAGAACGGGCGACATCAAATCCTACCTGAAACTACTGGCTAAGGATAAGGTTAAATACAGTAAGATTGTTATTCACGCTGGTGGTAATGACACCCGGTTACGCCGATCGGAGGTCACTAAAATTAGTGTTGCTTCGGTGTGTAAGTTTGCCAAAAAAATGTCGGACTCCGTAATTTTCTCTGGTCCCCTCCCTGATCTGACCAGTGATGACATGTTTAGCCGCATGTCGTCATTCAACCGCTGGTTGTCTAGGTGGTGTCCTGAAAACAACGTGGGCTACATTAATAATTGGCAATCCTTTTGGGGAAAGCCTGGTCTGATTCGGAGAGACGGCATCCATCCCACTTTGGATGGTGCAGCTCTTCTTTCTAAGAATCTGGCCACATTTATTAGTCCTCCAAAACCCTGACCACCCAGGGTGCAGACCAGGAAGCAGAGTTGTAGTTTAACACACATCTCTGCAGCTTCTCTACTGTTACCCACTCTTTACTCCATCCAGACAGTGTCTTGCCCACGACCAAAATCTAATAAATTAGCAAAGATTCCCAAAGGAGTAAATCATGATAATCTAATTAAAATCAAAATAACTCCAATTGGGGAAAAAGTTAAAACAATTAAATGCGGTCTGTTTAACATAAGATCGCTTTCCTCTAAAAGTCTGCTAGTTAATGACTTGATTTGTGATAATCACATTGACTTGTTTTGCCTTACAGAAACCTGGCTGCAGCAAGAGGATTATGTGAGCATAAATGAGGCAACTCCTTCAAGCTATTTAAATTTTCACATCCCCAGAAGTTCTGGACGAGGAGGAGGAGTAGCAACAATCTTCCAGTCTGACTTACTGATTACTCCCAAAACAGTTAATACCTACAACTCTTTTGAACATTTTACCCTTAATTTCCCTGATCCAGATTTCAAGGCAAGAAAACCTCTTCTTTTTGTAACTTTGTATCGTCCACCAGGTCCTTACTCTGAATGTTTAGATGAGTTTTCAGAGTTCCTTTCTGATTTGGTATTAAATACTCATAGTGGGAGATTTTAACATCCATGCTGACATTGAAGGTGATAGCTTAAGAGCAGCCTTTAATGCTATCTTAGACACTATTGGCTTTGTTCAAAATGTGAATAGTCCCACACATTCTCATCTTCATACTTTGGATCTTGTGCTGACATACGGCATAGAATGTGAAGAAATAACAGGATTTCCTCACAACCCTGTCCTCTCTGACCACTTTCTAATAACCTTCAGGGTTACTTTAACAGAGTTCTCCTCCCCCAAAAGAAGGTTCAATTTTAGTAGATCTTTATCAGATAGTGCAGTTATAAATTTTAAAGAATCTGCTTCACTTTCTCTCTCCTCTGTGTCGCTGAGCAGTGCTGCAGAGTGCAAAAGCATAGCGTATTCCCCTTCACAGGTTGATGATTTTGTTGATGGGGTTGCTAGTTCTCTGCGTACTGCCTTAGACAACGCAGCTCCTTTGAAAATGAAAACCGTTAATAATAGAAAGCTTGCTCCTTGGTTTAATGCAGAGCTGCGTACTTTGAAGCAAAATGCTAGGAAACTGGAGAGAAAATATCGCTCCACAGGCCTGCGGGAGTCCTTCCTAGTCTGGAAAAATAGTTTACTGCTGTATAAGAGGACCCTTTGTAAAGCAAGAGCAGCATACTTCTCCTCATTAATAGAGTAGAATAAGAATAATCCTAGATTTCTTTTTAATACAGTTGCCAAACTCACCCAGAGCCATAGCTCTGTTGAACCGTCCATTCCACCTGCTCTTAGCAGCAATGATTTTATGGGATTCTTTATAAATAAGATTGATCTTATTAAAAATAAGATCATAAGCACTCCTCTATCCGCGATTGTACCTGAGGTAGTCATGGAATCTGAACCGGGTTTAGACTGCTTTGATCCAGTTGAACTTTCAGAATTAGCTAAACTATTGTCTTCATCTAAGCCTTCAACTTGTATGTTAGATCCAGTTCCAACCAGGTTATTTAAGGAGGTATTCCCTTTGATCTCCTCCTCCATTTTAGATGTGATTAATCTATCTCTGTTACAGGGATATGTACCTAAAGCTTTTAAGGTTGCTGTAATCAAACCTCTGCTTAAGAAACCGTCTCTTGACCCAGATGACTTGGTCAATTATAGACCTATATCCAATCTTCCTTTCTGATCTAAAATTCTTGAGAAAGTAGTTGCCACCAAGTGTGTGATCACTTCCACCATAATGAACTTTTTGAAGAGTTTCAGTCTGGCTTTAGAGCTCATCATAGCACTGAAACAGCTCTGGTGAAAGTCACTAATGATATTCTCATGGCCTCAGATAATGGACTTGTATCTGTGCTCGTCCTGTTGGATCTCAGTGCTGCATTTGATACAGTTGATCATAATATTCTTTTAGAAAGACTTGAATATTTTGTTGGAATTAAAGGAACAGCTCTAGACTGGTTTAAATCTGATCTATCTGATCGAATTCAGTTTGTTCATGTTAATGATAGATCTTCAACACGCTCAAAGGTTACCTGTGGAGTACCACAGGGATCAGTGCTAGGACCAATTCTCTTTACTTTATACATGCTCCCAATTGGTAGAATTATTAGACAGCATGGGATTAATTTCCACTGTTATGCTGATGATACCCAGCTATATCTGTCTATAATCCAGATGAAGCTAACCCATTACATAGATTACAGGCATGTCTGAAGACATAAAAACCTGGATGACTCTTAACTTTCTGCTTCTGAATGCAGACAAAACAGAAGTTATAGTCTTTGGACCAGAGTCTCTGAAAAAGAAACTGATTAGCCAGTCACTTCATTTGGATGGGATTAAACTGATTTCAGATAATAAAGTAAAAAATCTTGGTGTTGTTTTTGATCAGGACCTGTCATTTAAATCCCAGATCAAAGAGGTTTCTAGAATTTCCTTCTTTCATCTGAGGAATATTGCAAAAATGAGCAATCTCCTGTCCAGGGGTGATGCTGAGAAACTAGTCCATGCATTTGTTACTTCAAGGCTGGACTATTGTAATTCTTTACTATCAGGAAGTCCACAAACTGTAGTTAAAAGCCTTCAGCTGATCCAAAATGCTGCAGCCAGAGTTCTGATGAAAATGAAAAAGAGAGATCATATCTCTCCTATCCTGGCTTCTCTTCATTGGCTTCCTGTTAAATCAAGAATAGAATTTAAAATCCTCCTTCTCACATATAAAGCCTTAAATGGCCAAGCTCCATCTGATATCAGAGATCTGATTGTTCCTTATGTTCCTAACAGAGCACTTCGCTCTCAATCTGCAGGTTTACTAGTGGTTCCTAGAATTTCTAAAAGTAGAATGGGAGGCAGATCTTTTAGTTCTCAGGCTCCTCTCCTGTGGAACCAACTACCAGTTTTAGTCCGTGAGGCAGACACCCTGTCTACTTTTAAGGCTAGGCTTAAAACTTTCCTTTTTGATAAAGCTTCTAGTTAGAGTGGCTCAGGTTATCCTGATCTATCTCTATAGTTCTGCTGCTATAGGCTTAGACTGCTGGAGGACATAGGGACCCCCATTTCATCATTCTATCTCTATTCTCCCACTCTGCAGAATCTGTTAGTTCAATCTCTAACGTTCTGCTCTCTCTGCTTTTTCTCATAGTAGCTTCATCTGGTCTGTTCCTGTTTGGCTGTGACTCCATCCTGGAGAGAAATATCAGCTG